GGAGGCCAGCAGCTCTGACGACTCCTACAGTACATCAAATAGTTTACTTTGCATAACCTCATCTTGTGTCCAATAGAAAGGATCAATTACTTTTTTACCCAGTATAGAAAGAGAGGACAGAAGTCTATTTGAAGCTGTGATTTTTTTTATGCCTACATAGTTTAAAATGTGCTTACTTTAAGTTACACATAAGTGACTCATTTTACTGCAATACTAGAGTGTCATATGTCATATCTGACATCTTAAAAGACATATTTCAGTATTTAGGGTAAAGGTTTTCAACCTTAAGCGCTTGTTCAACTTGTCCCTTGTTTAGGTAGGCACGTCCTTTCAAGGCCATCAAAACTGGGTATTTTCCAGCATCTGGGATCTATTAAAAAAAAAGAACATAGTTATAACATGAGACAACACACATATGTCGACAGTTAGAAATGCAAAATCTTACACTTCACCGAGAATAAATCAAACCTTCAAACAATCTGCTGAGTTAATTCTCGCCAAATCACGTAAAACAACAAAAACTACGAAAAAAAAGTACATACAACAACAACCTGAAGAATAAAGGGGTAGATGTTAAATTTATTACCTGGGAAAATGTTTCCAAAGCCTGTTCAGCAGCCGTCTGTCCTCCACTCCTTACTAACGCCTCTAGTTCCAGCCTGAGCAGTTTGCTTCTAACTTCTATGTCTCCAGAGTCACACACTGTAAGACCTAAAAGAATCAAAAACCACAGTACGTTCATGATTTGCTTCAGCAACAAAAAGGAGCTTCCTTTTGAAAGTAATTGTCCACATTTTTTAGTTCATAAATCCCTTTTTTTATGCCCTGCTAAAACAAATTATAGGATCACTTCATTGTCACAGTACAACACCAAGTCAGTTCGAGTTCAGGCATATCAAGCTGTCCATTAAGGAAGCACAAGTGATTGTGAAGCAATTTCACCTGCTTTGTTGCAATCGGAAGAGGACACATGTTGAACGGTGTTGCAAAAGCAAGACCACCCCCAAAACAGGAATGTTTTTTTACATGTGGTGGTCACAGACATTTTCTCTCTCCTCATTCTTCCGGACTCTTGATGTGGCCAGAGTGTGTGGGCTGTCCCTGGATGACGAGAGGCATTGATTGGCCCTCTTATTGTCCTGACCTAAATCCAATTGAGCACCTATGGGACGTTATGAATCAGTGCATCTGATGCCACCAAGATCAGCCACAGACTGTCCAGGTGCTGACTGATGCCCTGGTCCAGGTCTAGGAGGATATACCCTGGGACATCATCCGCCGACTAATCAGGAGCATGCCCAGACGTTGTCGATGTGCATACAGACACGCAGGGGGTCATACACACTACTGACACCCATAATGAATCGCCATTATTAAATTCATAAAAGTTGGATCAGTCTTTGACTTTCAGTATGATTTTGGATCCTTCACTAATTCCTTCATCAAAATTTGATCTGTGAATAAAGTGTTCCCATATTTTTTTGGAGCAGTGTATTTCCAATGAACTAATGTTGGCTGATTGGATACATTAAGATGGACTAACTGGATCAATTATTCTTGCTGCTCAGAGGTCATATTGATAACTAAAGTGATATAAAGCAGATAACACCCACCTTGGGAGCATGACAGAGCACAGTCTGAGTATCTGTGCATTTTTAACTGAGCCTCAGCCAGACTGTACCATCCTGTACTGGAGCTCTTTTTCTTCAGCCCTGAAAAACAAAAGAGAAAATTCCATGGGTTTTTATCACCAAGATTCTGGGTTTCAGAGATTGTTACAGAGTTTAAATCTTAGGTATCCAGAGGCAGGTGCCTTTCACATCAAGAACATAATCCATTCAGAGTTGATGCACAACCTCACCTTGGGCTAGGTCCTTTATGGCGTCCTTATACCTTCCTTCTTGCAGGGCTTTGGTGCCCAGACCCAAGTGACCTAATCCACTGTTAGGGTCCAGAGCCAGGAGTCGTGAGAAACAGCTCAATGCATCCTCATTATGAACACCTTTAAATAAATAAAAACACGGATTGATTTATCCTGAAGCCTTGAAATTTATTTTGTACAACGCTGTTGAATATCTGTGAAAATATCTTTGAATTCTGTCGCTTCAGATTTAATAAATAAAGTGACAATACTGCACCGTACCTTTTCTGAGGTAGTGAGAGCAAAGGACTTCAAGAGGATAACTTTGGTCGGGGTAAAGGGTCAGCATAGACTCACATGCCTCTTTTATTTTGACTTCTTCTTGTGGAAGCTACAATAAGGAGAGAAATGTGATTCAGCTGATGATTGTACAGGGATAAGTATAAGGTAGGTTATCCATCTTTTTTTAAACACACACACACACGCATATTCTAAACATAGGATTGCACTTACATTAGAAAGACATTTGACATAGTCAGCCGAGACCTTCTTGTGTTCCTCTCCTGGTACAGGATCCATGAGAACCATGGCCTTCTCAAATGCTGTGATTAACTGATAATCACAATAATCAAATGTAAGATTGTATTAAGACATGTGCACTAAAACATCACCAAATGTATTTTGTTTTTTTTCAGCCAGAGGAAGAAATTTGAGCTCCTGAAAAAAATAAACTGTCAAAAGTTGGAGAAGTCTTACATGCTGTTGAGTTTCTTGGTCCTGCCCTCCCTCCTTGAGGCAGTCTGAGAGAAGTTGGGTCATCTGTTGCCAAAGCTGCAGTAACTCCTTCTTGTCCACAGACTCCTCCTCCTTCAGCTGAAGGAGCTGGCGCCAAAGCTTTGCCAACTACAAGCAAACATACGAATGTCTTCATGTGCAAAAAGAACACAAAACAATGTATACATCCCTTAAACATAATCTCCTTTTCAAAACATACCTTCAAATACTCTTTGTCAGACTGATAGACATCAGATAGCTTTTTGATCATCTCATAACATTTGGTTTTGTCAGAGCTGTAAATGGAGAACATTTTGAGATTAAATCAAAAAAATCAAAAACAAAAAATGTTACACTAGTTGGAACAAGAACATTTTTTTACATTACCATGCATACAGATCCACGAGCTTCTGATAGATGTCTGGAAGCTCTACTTTGAAATCCCACTGATCCGTCTTCTCATAAAGATTAGCCAAGCCCTAAAACACAACAGCATCTCAGTGACACTATTCCTCTTAAAATTGGGCTGGGGAGAAAGGTAATCAAATACGCAACATGGTATACAATTCTCACACTTTTAAAGGATTGTGCCAATTTGAAAGGAACATTCAGATCACATCAAGCTGGTAAAGATATGCAAAGGCTAAGAGGAGATATTAATACACCTGGAATCATCTGGAAGCACTAACCACTACAATTATCCGCCTTACCTGCCATGCAAGTAGCTGCTCAGGCTCCAGCTCCACAGCCTTTTTATAAGCAGTCTGTGACTGATCCGGCTGCTCCAGTTCACTGGCAGCCAAGCCGATGAACACCCATGCATTATAATTGTTCTTCTCAAGTTTCAAAACAGCCTTAAACAATAATAAAGAGAGAAATGTCATTATCTTAGGATTGACAGATACAATTCATATCCTCTTTTAGTAGCCATACTTAGTAAATATTTACATTTTTTGAATATGTGAGTGATACTTTACCTTGCAGTGTTTCAGAGCCTCTTTGAACTCTTTGTTTTTGATGGCCTCTCTGGCACTCTTCAGCGCTGTTTTCACTTCTTTACTCGACATCTTCTGTAACTTAAACACATGTAGGTATTATGAGATAATATCTTTAGCAGTGTATGCTATCTAGCTGTACAGTCAATGGGCTAGATGGCATTAGCTGTGAGCTTCACAGCGCATCTTAACCATGTAGTTATAGATAATAACTGCTGAAACACTTTTATTAAAACCGGGTAATATTGCGTTTGTTTTCTACTTGCTCGTACAGGTTTTGTTACTTGAGGAAACTCACTGTTTACATCGACGCCGCTCCTGTGGTTTGACCCGGAAGTGAAAGGCAACCGGCTTCACGCCCTTCAAATTTTAACTTCTACTTTTAGTTTGGTCCAGTCTTAATATTTACAGTCTATGGGTCCAGTACCATAGTCAATATAAAGATCTACGGTATGTACACACAATACTGATGTAAATATGTTTGATTTGATTTTTAACTTCTATTTTTATTTGTAATAGTTATATTCCCGTCCCCTGTTTTCTGGAGCTGCTGTAATGCACAAATTTCCCCCACGGGGGATCAATAAAGTTTATCTTTATCTTTTATCTTTTATCTTACTGCCTTCAGAAAAGGAAAAAGAATGAATTCGTTTGAATGTTAACCTGATTTTAACACGCTTCAATTCATTTTGTTGTTGTTGTATTTTATAAAGTTATTTTGAGGTGAAAACATGTAAAGAGGCGTCACATTAGTCCAGATTAAACCAAAGTTTTAGCCTCAGGCAGCTAAAAAGGACGATCTGATATTATTCATTATCAATTATTACATGATTATTTCCACAAAGAAGCACACATCTACAGATCTACATCTAAAAGACATCCGGTTCTTTTGTGCCAACTTGACAGCACAGTGTTTATTTAGGTATTCTTTATTTTGTAATGGTTTGGATATCCAAGTAGCATTTTCCTCAAGAAACATTTATGTAGTTCTATAAACTATTAATGTATTTACAATTCTACTTTAATGCAAATGACCTACAATACCACACATTGCCTTGAAGCTAAGACAGATGACTTCCAAGCCTACCATTATGACCACTACAACTTGTAATGCCATTTGTTACTACTAATATTGTGCTGCTGTGATTGTATTTCAACAAAGACTACCACCCAATACAGGTTAATACCATAGACTGTAAATATTACAGTACTACTGTTACAGTACTACAGTATTACTGTTAATACCCCCACCACTATCATCAGACTAGACTGTTACCTCAATTATATAACATCAAATTTAATCTTAAGAGCAAGATATCAGATATACCTATATACCCGATGTGACAGATGAATGCAGACAACATAACAGATTACATATATATATTTTTTTTATTATGGGCTGATCATCAACATTTCGTTTTTTGTTTTCATTGCCACCGCATGTGAGGTAGGATATTGAATTCTTTTTGCATAGTAGAAGGACATTAAACTTGTTTGTACTTGACCATTCCCCATAGTAGAGATAGACAGATAGATATAGAGATATCCATGAGATAGAGTTAAGCTGTCTATGCAGTCTAGTCTGCTTTACTCATTAATCCCTTAACTGACACTTTGTATTCAGTCATGTCTCTTTTAGGGAAGAATGATGCCATTTTGCAATGGCAAAATTAAATGTTTAAAAATCACAGATTAAAAAAGATATTACAAAGAGCCAAAGAGCCATTTATCAATGGCTCTCTCATAGGCTAACATATCTTTTTGCCAATCCACATGCCACCTCAGACTAGCAATCACCTGGCTGTAGTTTCCCCCTAAACTATTACGCCAAGCACCAAAAGCTTTTTTATTGTATAGGTGGACAGTTGCTGAGACTTCAGGATAGTCTACAATGCTACGCAATAGCTTGTCCAGATGTGCCTGCACGTCTGGGTATTTGAAGGCAACATTATGAAGTTCTTCCTTGTCCAGTGTTAGGTCTGTAAAACACAAAGAAAATAGAACATGAATGCATGTGAGGATTTCATGGCTGAAGTTGAGTTTTTGAAGTAAGGAACTTACCAAAAAGCTGTGGGGGGACACTCAGGCCATCTGCGTAGGCTATATATTTCCACCGACCACTTCTTAGCATGTACGTAGAGGTATTTACATTACAACCATGGTATTCACTCAGAACCCAGTCTGGATGCTGATTCTTGGAGAAAGAACCGGCCTTGGACAGCAGAGAAAGAAGCGAGTGACCACTGATGAACCCTGGTGCTGGAACACCGGCAAAGTCTGAAAAATAAACAAGAGCTTTTATGAAGACAGACTAAAAATGAAACCTTGTCATGCTTTGACTTTCCTCGGAGTATGCAGGAAATCAAAATCATCCATGTATGCTACGATGATTTCACCTTTTAAAAAACAATGAATGATATAATAATCTTTAATAGCTTACTTACCGAGCACAGTTGGATAGAGATCAACCAAAGACACAAGTTGGTCGACCTGAAGGCCTGATTTCAGACCAGGCCCCATGATCAAAAGCGGAACATGGGAGCTGCCTTCAAACATGGACATCTTGTAGAACTGCCGGTGCTCCATGGCTAACTCTCCGTGGTCAGCCGTAAAGATCATAACTGTGTTGTTAAGCAGGCCGGTCTCTCTCAGAGCTGAAATCACTTGGCCTGGGGAGAAAGTGGGTAAGCAAAGGGGCTGCTGGGATTCTTTCATTTTAATTCAGCTGAAATACATTATTCAAACAGGATCTGCACAATGAACAAGACAGAAAAGGTTGCAACTATGTAACTTTGATATTTTCAATGTTTAGCATCTTTAGAGCTCCCTGCTGCTAAATTACTGTAGTCTACTAACCCAGCATGGAATCTGCTTCGGCACACATGGCATAATAGAAAGCCCTGATACTTTTGACTTCCTCCTCAGTAAAATCACCACTGCAGTTTTTGGTGAAGGTGGAGTAGTAGTCAATGGGGTGCATGGACGATACAGGCAGCCATTTAGGAACATTGATGAGCTCTGAAGACACCTGTATGTATATAAAAAAAAAAGACTTAAGATTTCATTTACACTTACATAAAAAAGTACACAATCAGAAATCAGGGAAATAAAAGCCATGCCTTCTCCAGCCAGTACGGTGACGTAAGGAAAGTTGATCCTCCTGCGGTGGGCCCAAGTGACTCAGTTCTATAGGGGTGAGGTAAATTGAGCCCGAGATAAAGAGCGAAGGGCTGGTGAGAGGCTGCACCTCTCTGGTGGATCCACTGTGTGGCCTTGTCTGTGTTTTCCCAGTCTTTTCTCATGATCCTGACTGTTGACTTGTTCCCAACAAGTTGCGTGACAGGCCGGCCCTCTTGCCGCAGGAGAAACGGAACATCTCGTGTCCAGGCCTCCACGCGGTTACTGCGGAAGTCGCACAAGCATACACATAGATACTGTTAAGCAGGCATCGAAAAATGGGAAGTGGAAAGACAAGCATCATTCACACTCTTCTGAAAATAGCTGCCAGCATACACAAAATCTTAGCTTCATGAACTGATAAGAAAATGTGTGTTTTTTTAAATCTGAGATACAGGCTCCATTTTATAGACACTCTTGTCCATTTGTCCCACAGTTTCTGCCTACCTGACAGAGTGACTCCCTGAGGTGAAGTCAAGCTTGCCCATCATCTTGGTCAAATATCCATTCGCCTCAAGCAAGTCCATCCATGTCGTTGCATTAGCATTGAGGCACTTATAGTTGTTCCATGACTGAGTGAGGTGAACAAACTGACCGCTCCACATTGCTGAGAAACAGTCCGAAAAGATTCTTGATTCATATTCAATCCACTGTTTTAACACCTTAGTAAGAACATAATATGTATAGTTAAATCATTGCACTGCGTTAAGCAGATAACTGACCTGCTCTTGAGGGGCAGCAGATTGGAGAGTTGGTGTATGCATTGAGGAAAGTGGTACCAAGCTCCCTCAGGTAGTTCACGTATGGCAGATGTACCACTTTGCTGCCAGGATCAAAGGTCAATCTGCCACCCTACAGAAGAGGATAGGAGGAAAACTCAAATTCAAAACCAAGGACCGATGTGAAAAATAAAAGTTTGATATCTTTTGCTACAGCCCTGTCTTCTCAAATAATGCCTTACAAAATAAATCACTTGTAATGGTTTGTGGTATATAGATGAAAATCAATTAACAGCGCCCTACTTCAAACTTACAAATGCGTCACTCATCACCATCACTATGTTGGGTCTTGATCCATTTTGGCAAGAAATGTGACCATAAAATCTGAACAGGACAACAAAGGCCAAAAGAACTAAATTCATGACAGCGTTTCACCGCATTCAAATTAAGAGTTTTCCATTCCTCAAAGAAGCGACTCCTCCAGTCTGACCAAAAGAAATGAGGAGAGACATTTCTGTTCCTGTTAACTTCATAGGTTTACTTTCGACACTGTCGTGCGACTGCAAATTCAAATCCCGGTTACGCTTTTCAAAATAAGAGTTTTCTTGTTTCGTTTCGAAATAAGCAGCCATGCAGTCTGAGGGGAATCACTGTTTTTACCCTATACTAGGTAAACACTCATCATTTACACCAACAATGATTCGAAGAATGAAAAAATATTAAGAACATTAAAGTGGTATTAAATATTAATAACCCCGCTTTTCAAAGTTGTAATGACAAAATGTGAACCCTAGAGGGCAGCATTAATCTTCTCACAAAACAAGAAAAGACAAATAGCCATGGAACAGGCCATGATCACGTCAACGTGGGCTACTTACTACACATGTACAATATTTAGCCTACTATCATGCATAATATACGCATTGTATTGTATTTTCAGGTGACTATAACACTGTTTACAATATATTTATGTAATCCAAATGTAGTAAGACGTCTTATGACAAAGCTATTAGATAAATCTATGCATGCAACAGCAATTGATGCACCGAAATATCATTCATAACCAACTTTTGTAGCTTAAATGTGACTTGTCTCTCCACTGCATCACCTGAGTGAAGCTGCACTTGGTCAATTGTCACAACGCATTATTGTTTTGCAGTCATGACTTGTTTGTTGAAAACAAGGTGGGCCCTTGCACAAGTATGTTCAACAGGTAATGCTGCAGTTAATGTGGAAACATTGATGGCCACCAGGTGGCGTTTTGAGCCTTAGAGTTGTTTTTCTGTAACACAGCACAATGAGACTTCCCAACCCCCCATACATGCACTGATCATTTTGAGACAAAAACAACCAAATTTATGAAATAAATGAACAAATTGGACGCCTTTATTTCAGGCTGCTATCCATCCTACGCCTTGAATAGCAGGGCCACAGTCTACATCCCTGCATTATAAATAGTGCACAGTAATTTCAAATGCACCACGCTGCAGACTTCATGCAAGAGTCAGCTGTTATTATTTTTTTGGCGACTTAACGCGGATCTAAAGATTGTCGTAAGTTTGGATATAGGGGGGGGGATATAGGGGGAGAGGGGGGAGGGGGTATGTGTATCAATGATATAACAGATACATGTGCAGACACTGAAGCCATATGCTCAGACAAGATGTAGCCCTAATAAAATAAAAGGCAGGGTGTGGTGATGTGCTATTCATTAATTGAACTATATTTACATATAATTAATTAAAATTATACTTATAGTAGGATATATTTGCATTTGTTTTTAGATACATGGGCAAACACACGCCTTAAATCATTCCCTGGAGGTTGAGAAAACTAGTTATTTAGGCGATTTTGTGCAGTTCTATGATTGTATTGTAACACTAAAACAGCAGATAACCCGTAAAAAGTCGCTCACAATACCACTGAGGTGAACATTTCTTTGTGCAGTCTTTCAGCTGTTTGACCAAACTTGTCATCTGGCTCGGTGCCACACTTCTCTGCCTTGTTCCAAAAGGCGGAAGGAGGGGGGCAGCTGAGCATTGCGCATGCGCCCCAAGGTTGTTTTTCACACAGCCTGTCGCTTAAAGTGAGCGGAGCTACGGGGGTTTCCTTGTCTTTGACTGGAGACCAACTCGCAGAGAGGCAGGCGGATGATAACAGCATCCTTTGCTGTTATTCAGCCATCACACATCTCAATGAACTGCTCGCAAAGAAGCCACTGATCGTGCCTACTGCTTTTTGCAGGGCAGAGATACTGATCAGTGTCTAAAAACTGCATCTCTTTTTCACATGAGATTATTTTTTCATAGACTCCTTTTTTTTATTTCAAGGTCCCTGTAGCCTCTCTTTCCACTATGGTGCTGGGAAAGGTAAAGAGCTTCACAGTGAGCTACGACTGTCTCAATGACAGCAATGTTCCCGTCTTCTCCAGCGGGGACTGCGTCTCAGGGAGGGTGGTCATCGAAGTCACGGGAGAAATCCGTGTGAAATCTCTCAAAATCCACGCAAAAGGATTTGCAAAAGTTCGTTGGACTGAGTCGAGAAACGCTGGATCCAACACTGCCTACACGCAAAACTACACAGAAGAAGTGGAATATCTAAATCACAAAGATATTTTAATTGGACATGAGAGAGGTAAGCATGTGTGCTTTTATAGATTTTTTTATTTGTTATTTTCATGTCGCATAAGTTTTAAGGACATTGACTGTAGGATGCTCTTTGTGCTGGCTCAGGATCAGGTACACTGGAGGATGCTGGTGCCAGAAATGCTCATAATAACTTTATAATATACACAGAGAGACGTGGTACATAAGCTTCTTTCGTGATAATGTTGGTATACTGCATATGGTGACATTGGCTGGATAGAGGTCTATAGTTACTTGTTTGTGTCGAGGTGTCAGAATGAATGACAGCAGCTCAGGCAATTGTGTTTTTCACAGTATTTCAAGTGTAAGACGACCATGATATACATTTTTTTGTTGATAGGTCGACAGAGTAATGACTTGTGGTGGAGTATGGCCGGCTTTGATGGAGATGCTCATCGCCAAAACGCATTATAAAGGCTGTTTCTTTGTAGCTTTTCTTAAGTTTCCACCCATTGTTCAAAGCGGTTCAATCCTGTTCAGAAAACTAGAGCTGGTGTGGGCGGAGAAGAGCACAAATCCCCGCCCTAGCCCGCGTGTCATTGGCTGAGGTGCTCATGTGTGGGCAATGACATCATTCTCCTGCAGTGAGTGACAGAATATTCTGCAACTTTTTAATTAAGCGAGCACACGCAAAAAATACATGAATAGCCTGCTTCTTCTTTGAATGCAAAAGTCGGAATATGTAAAGCTGCACCGGGGCTGCAATGCTGATTCTTTTGCTGTACTTATATAATTAAATATGTTAATTTGCACATGTATGTTTTGTGGAAACAAAACGCAGTTTGCAAACATAGTGGCCTATACAGGGCTTCGTTTTATTCTCATTGGTTGATTGTTTCGATTTTTGTTGGGGTGTAAATGCATGCAAGTATTCCAATGCTGTGGGTTCAACTTGTTTTTCCACTTGTAACACATTCCGCTAATGACTGGATGGAGAAATACTTTTGGCATAAAAGGCTATACAGCAGCTCAAACGTGTGTGGCAGCTGGGCTTGTTTGCTCGACTGTCAGACATTTCATCGTGTTGAAGGTAAACTGTACCTAGGCTATACCTGTCCATTTAAGACTGGATTGGGGTTTGAGTTAAAGCTTTATGCCACGTCGTTTACTTAAAATAATTGATTTTGCAATCAAAATGTGTGTGGCCATGCTTAATTGGTGTAAAGCAGTCGTGAGTTGCAGTAGAGGGAAGTCTGCAGGCTTGTAGTAGTAGTTGACTGAGGCGTCGCACAGTGAATGCGTAATGAGAGCAGAGCAGAGCGGCTGTGGGAAGCTGTTCACACCGGTTTAGGCCGGTCTCCTCCTGCTGTAGTCTGCCGTTTGACTGACAGCTCCGCACTTGTTTACCACACGGCTGCTGCTGCTGCTGTAAAGGGGGAGGGAGTGCTGAGCTGGCAGAAGCATACCCGGCTTGTCGACTTACTGGTCGACTACAGTTTCGATGTTAAGAATTAAAAAAACATTTTTTTTTGTTACGAATACTTTCGACGATGCCTATTGTCTCTTTTCTCTGAAGAAAACATATTGTCTATTTTATGTAGGAAATAAATGCAATCACACTTGTCCTTGTTGGTCAGACAGAGTTAATCTAGAGATTAGGATTTTATTGTTACCCCATAGAGCCATGTTGTCACCATAAGGCCTTTAGCATATATTTCCATGTTATTCATAATAATAAGACTTATCTGTTCTAAAAAAGCACAATCTTGCACCCTTAGTCTTAGTTTCTTGCACCTTTAAACTATCACCTTATTTAGTGTGCCCTAAACATTGGTCTGTTTCTCATCTCTCAATACATTAATATTTTAGACAGATATGATAGTAAAATCCCTTTATTCTCTTTTGTCTCCCCCACCCTGTGTTTTTGGTATGACTTTCAGATGCCTTCGTAGAGCATTTTTCTCAGGTATGGTATACATGTGTTTGGAATATTGTCCTCCTTGTTTTTCAGACGACGACAACTCAGAAGAAGGTCTCACCACTATCCATTCAGGAAGACATGAGTATGCATTCAGCCTCGAACTTCCACAGACGTGAGTGTCCTAATGCTACGCCACAGTCAAAAGATTACATATCAGTAACATTGTCTATATGAGCTCTTCATTTAACCATTTTCTGTCTTTCTTGTTCTTTTCTGTAGACCTCTGGCTACCTCTTTCGAAGGAAAGCATGGCAGTGTGCGCTACTGGGTGAAGGCAGAACTCCACAGACCATGGCTCCTGCCCATGAAGACCAAAAAAGAATTTACAGTCTTTGAGCACATTGACATCAACACTCCATTATTGCTGGTATGGGCTTTTTTTGAAGATGCTTTAATTTTCTTGAAATTGGCCGAGGTGTTGTGAAAATGGATAAATGAAAGTCAAACGCGTCTAGTAGAAACAAAGTAGCCATGACATTATTATTAACCCCTTTTCTTTTTCTCTGCAGTCACCACAGGCCGGCACAAAAGACAAGACACTTTGCTGTTGGTTCTGCACCTCAGGTCCTATTTCCCTAAGTGCCAAAATTGAAAGGAAGGGATACACCCCAGGTGAGAATATGTTTGTGATTAGTACTGTTTACCTTGTTGATCATCTTTTAGTAATTTACTCTGCAGATGATTGATTGGTAATTAACGTCTCCTCTTTCCCTTCCATCTCCACAGGAGAGTCGATCCAGATCTTTGCTGAGATTGAGAACTGCTCATCCCGCATGGTGGTGCCAAAGGCGGCCATCTACCAAACCCAGACCTTCTATGCCAAAGGGAAGATGAAGGAGGTCAAGCAGCTGGTGGCCAACCTGCGGGGCGAGTCTCTGTCCTCGGGCAAAACAGAGACATGGAGCGGCAAGATGCTGAAGATACCACCAGTCTCCCCCTCCATCCTGGACTGCAGCATCATCAGAGTGGAGTACTCTCTCATGGTTAGTACAGACTCTCTGTTTGTAGCAGTGTCAGGAGAGCCTTTAAAAAAGAGTTTATATCTTCAACACAGTCTAATCTAGTCATTGTTATCAGTACAGAATCAATATTTACTTGTAAGCCAGTATCTCTCCTGGTGAAGGACCCAACTGACTCAGCTCGCATTGCCAAATCTGGGCCTTGGATTGCACCAGGTGTTATCTCCACATGCTGCTAAGAGCATTAGCTCAGAATATCTTAGGTAACACCTGTCTTGAGGGTGCTTATAACCTCTTTACCTTGTGAGCAGACGGGCACCAAGCGAGGACTGTACCTTGCATAAGCGGTCGACCTCAACACATTGACCCACATAATGCTGAATGACTACACAACCTATATAGCCCTGACTAGCATGGATTTAACTTGTAACTGTCAGCTAAAGTCTAGAGCCCCCATTATGACTTGCATATTCTAACCTGCTGTGGTGTCCTCATGTCTTTGCATAGGTATATGTGGACATACCTGGGGCAATTAACCTGTCCTTGAACCTGCCGCTGGTTATTGGAACCATCCCTCTCCATCCCTTCGGCTCCCGTACCTCCAGTGTCAGCAGCCAGTGCAGCATCAGCTGGCTGGGCATGGGTCTGCCTGACAGGCCTGAAGGTAGGTTGTTTCTAATGGTCGTGATTCACCTTTTTATAAATAAAGTCCAATTCCCTTGAATACTCACATGTGGCTTCCTCTGCAGCTCCTCCAAGCTATGCAGAGATTGTGACCGAGGAGCAGAGGCAGACCAGCCTGGATGTTCCAGCAGCCCGTGAGGAGCTGGATGGACCTCTATTCGCTTACATTCATGAGTTCCGCTTCCAGCCGCCTCCTCTGTACTCGGAGGTAAAAAAAAAAAAAAAAAAAAAAACTGTAAATTCATTTTCGATACACACAAAATAACAAATTCTCTGTGATTCAGTAAGTAAACCCAACTTCTCTGTTGTCTTCCCAGATCGATCCTAACCCTGATCATGCCAGCCGCACAGAGGAACGCAGGATTGACGCCTGTCCATCCCGCTGAATGGTATTCCTGAAATTCCCCTGACTGATTCGGGGAACTCAAAGAAAACCTGTGTGCAAGGCTCGGCTTTGTTTACTTTTCTCCAGCAACAACGCTCGCGCAGCGCTGTTGACATCAAGAGAAAAGTATCCAACCAACCAACAAAAGACTCGGACAAACACTCACAGTTCAGTTGGGTTGGACAAACATGTTCCTGCCTTCCCTCAGTGAGAGAAACAGGAGTCATTAGTTTGGTGCATCACTTCTTTCCTGTGTTTGCTGACTGAGGGGCGGATACATGCAGACGAACACATATTCAGTCTGTATGAAATAACCCATGTGCAGTGTGAGCTCTGGTGACAGTATTGACACTGACAAGGAAGAATCAGCCAGGCCCAACCACGCCAAGCTCTTCTTTAACCCCTGATTCTTCTGTTTTCGTGGCACATAATGACATGGCTCCTCACACAAAGGGCGGGACTGGTCATGTCCAGACTTCAGCTGAAGCTTCTGAAGAAAATGAGATGAAGAGAGAAAAAACATGCCGCCTATATGAATGAAAGCAGTCTGCTGCATCAGTCAACAACAGAGCCAAGACTCAGTCCTCCTGCCTCGTTTGGGATTCTGTTTTGCACATTTTATTCTTTACTTGAGTTGTGTGGTTCTGTTTTAATAAGCAGAAGAAAAAAAATCACTAAACGTTTGGTTTCAGCCTTGTAATGCGCCAGACTAAGAAGACTGCAAGCTTAACTTTAGAGACTTTCATATTTGAGTTACGCTGAGAACAGGATAAGATTTTTGAAAAAAAAAAAAAAAACAAGGACAAGAACAATGCACTGAATTTTCTTTAAGCTGTTTAAGAATTTCATTTCTCCTTATGACATTTCCTCAGTGACTTATAACTAGACTGGACTTTTACAACTGCAGCACATGATCTCCATCTGGAAGCTCTTTTTAGTTGTTGCCTCCTCGGCTTGGATGCAGGTGTGGCTTCCCTCCTCTTTTAGTTGAGTTCTGTTGTTTTGTTTTTGTACTTAGCTTCAATCATAGAATAGCTTTGAATCTTTTTTGTGTTGAGGTTGCTCTGGATTTGGACTAGGAGGGTTGCAGACGTGCATTTGCCACTTAAAATTGTAACTGAGCAGATACGAGTGAGTGTGTGTGTGTGTGTGTGAGTGTGTTTGTAACAGTGAGGGTGGTACGTTAGAGAGGGACTTGCCTATTTACCTGCAGCCCCTCTACTCCTAATCTCAGGGCAAGCCAGGCTTGCATAACTGCCCAAAAAGCACTGTCTCAGGTGGTCTTCTTACTTGCCAAACGGTTTGAGAAAGGAAAAAAAATATTGTATGTTTCCTTTAAAATTGCACTGTTGGAGAAAATGAAGAGTTTTTTTTTTTTAACTAACAAATCGTGAGAAAAGACCAGCGGAAAAGCAAGGCAGCTTTCTGAGATTGATCACATTCCCTTTTTGTCCTGCTGCACTCGCCCTGTTCATCCAACCAACAGTTAGAATTCACCAGACCAGTGAAGCCAGAATGCTTTGAAAAAGGAATGAAATAAAAAAAAAAGGAGAAACAACTCTGCTCCTGTGTCTTGTAAAAGGAGCAAACCCAGCTCTAATGAAAAGCTGGGGACTTTGTTAAACCTCTGTTGAGACTGGTCAGAACAAGTAGTAGTAGGTTGACATGAGTAATACATTGGTTTTCTAACTCATTCAACACATACGACCAGCTGCAACAGAGGACTTGCATAGTCAGCATAAAAAAGAAAAGCAGCACTTTTTTTGATAAGAAAATGAAACAAAAAAAAAAACATTCAATGGTGAAGGTCTGGATATAAAAACATTTATACTAGAGGATTCTTCTTGTGTAGGACGCTAATCTGTTATTTACATTTTTTTTTAAGTTAGTGACTTTTTTAAGTTTACATTTTAAATATAGCTGACACCAGTCTGTGTGTGTGTGTGTGTGTGTGTGTGTGTGTGTGTGTGTGTGTGTGTGTGTGTATGTGTGTGTGTGTGTTATGTGTGTATGCACGCTCCTATCGAGATCCAGCTGCAACTAAACAAACAGCTTCTCAAATACTGCAGACTAGTAAAGTGATCTTATCTTAGTGGCCTTGACACAGAAAAGACCTGATCATGAGTCTTCATTTTTCAGTGTCTATGTTGACTCGTGTGTATGTTTTTAGACCTTTCCATGTTTTATTCAAAAGGACAAAAAGGGAAGAGGAAAAAAAAAAAAAAAAAGTCCTTTTAGAAGCGAGTGTTGAAAAATGACACTCAAGACAGGCCTCTCTCTGCTGAGCTGTTTGAACTATTATTGTGTTTACTTTGTATTTCTGGGCATTGATATATTTTGCTTCCTAGTTTAACAAGTAACTATTCCTGAGCTAGTCGCCCTCACCTCTGACCCCCTCAGGCCTGGGGGGTGGCAGCTGTTGATCAGCATCGCTCCTCCCTGAGACACGTAGACGATATGTGATAATAGACAAACCGCTTCTTCTTCCACCATCTTTCTATCCTCTTCTTCTTTTTTTTGTGCTAGGTTTTTTTTTTTTTTTTGGATCGTATCTTAGGGAAACTGAATCAAGCTACACGGCATTGAATAAGCTTACTTTTTTTTTTTCTTCAGGTTGGTTGATTCCATAGTCCATGTGCTTGGCCCTGATAGTAGTCCAGTGTCAAAACTAAGCTAAACTCCTGACTCTCAAAAAGGCAGGAACTGAAATGTTCACAGATAAAAGAACCTGGGCCTCAGGATCTGAAACATTTTAGAAACAAGGTGCAATATCATTCACTGAATTTTCTTTATTCTCCATTGATATGTTTGTTTTTATCTCTTTGTCTGTCAGTCATGACGATGTATAGATATTCTATGAATATGTTCTGAATGATTTAACCTTTTCTCTAGTTCTTCCTTTTGATTTGAATAAACATTTTGTTCAAAAGACCAATGGGCTATGATGCTTTACCTTGTGCATGATTACACATAATTACATAGTGCACCAAATACATTTACTGTTGCTTTGTTAATACGACAGAATTTGAACAACACACCCTGAGAAGACTTTAAATGCTGTAAGCTGTAAATGATTTATGAGAACCTGTGTACCCTGCTAGAAAACCAAACTATTTGGGTCATGACAGCTTCAGTTCAGATCATAGACTGTAAGGTTCAGATACACACAGGTTGACCACAGATTATTCTCTAAAAGTGCAATACTGCCCCTGGAGGTGGTTCAAGAACTGCACTTGTCTTGGATGGCAGAGGTTGCAATCCAGTACAGTTTCAAAGCTTTTTACTTCAAAGTCTACTTCTATTTCACCTTAATGGGCAAGTTTAAATAATTTGTTTATAATTTACACCTTACTAATATTTCCAGTTTGTTTTCAGGGTGTCATAGATGGTATCCCCCCCCCCCCTTTCAAAACAGGAATACCACTTATTGTCCCAAAAATGTAGCCAAACATTGCCCACAAGGCCCTGGTTTTATGTATTTATCCTGCTTGTATGTGTGTCAGAGGATTAACACAGGGATTCCTCAAGTAAGAAGAGGAAAGGCTAGAGAGAAAAGCTGCTTTCATCTTTGCTCAAGTACCCTTTGACTTGAGTTATGCTACTGCTTCAGGCCTTTGTGAGCCAGACTAAAATATTATGCGTATACCTTAAAAAATGTCCTACTTGATGTTATCTTCTCATTTGGTTTTATATATGGATAAGGTCTCAAAAGCTCTTGTTCCTAAAAGTTTTGAAAGTGTATGAGTTATAGCAGGAATAGTCATTTGAATCTCACTTAACATTTTTTTGAAAAACAAGACGCTACTTATTATCCAGATTGTCATTAAAAAAGCCAAAACATAACATGACTGTTAAAAAAGGAGCATGTGCAACTGAGAGCACACCTCTCGAGGAAAGTCTCTGAGACACGTTTTACGAGTTGATGGCGACAGGCCAAATGAACCGCAGTCACAGGTCACCATATAGTGAAAAAAACTCAACATGATTTATTGATCCCTGTTTAAAGATGCATGCACACGATAGGACATGGTGGCCTGCTGCAGAGCACTGATAAAGGAGACATCTATTAATAATTATTTTAAGTGTTTTTGTACTTTCTAATACACAGGGCTTAAGTATTGAACACTTACTTTTAACTTTCAACTCTGTTTTTTTCACTCAAGTCTTATTTTCATAAATGTGCTAACATTTGCTCAGCATTTTCATAAATATTTCCAATCCATCGATCCATCTAGCTTGATTTGTTTCAGGCGTAAGTCAATATTTACTTAAATACAACTTTAAACATTGAACTTGCAAAGTATGATGCTTTCTATCTTTAAATGGGCTTACTCTCTTCCAGTACCAGTTTGTCAACACATGACCTATTTATAATAGTTGACAATCTGCTTGTTAGCAGTCAATCAATTTGACTCGTATATGGACTTGCATATTACGTCAGCCCGGTTTTTTACTAATTGATTTTGTTTGAAAATAGGAGCATGAACTCAGTAAATTCGATCGGGCCGTGATGTGAATGAAAGCACTGTACAGCTCAGTGTGTCTGAAAGGTCAAGCTGCCACAAATGCACAAAAAAAGCACAGAAGTCATTGCTGTTACATAACTGAACCTAGCACTTCTTGAGCATCCTCTGTGATGCAGGAACTCTAGTGTGCTAGCATTTTTACCCAAAACGGGTTATTTAAACACAAAGTGATAGGTCGACGGCTTTTTAGTGAGTTTTTGCACATTATCAGTTTGAGCCAGCATCAGCGATGACTCAGCAGCTCTGTCAGCTTTGACCATGCGCTTCACTATGCCTTTGTCTCCTCCCCTTCTCCCCAAATCCCCATCGCCCCTCGGACCCTTTTGACTTTGGTGGGCCCGGTCCTTTGTGGGTGTCTGACCCCTGTGAAATGAAAAAAAAGAGGGGGAAGGGGATTATTGAGGGAGAGCATAGATTGGGGCAGCGTGCGAGCATGCATGTGTGTGTTGATTAGGGAGTGCTGACACTACACAGGCCTCAGCTGTTTCCTCTCACCAGCTAATCCCGCTACCCAGAAGCCCCCTGTTATCCAGAGGTTCTCGGCAGCCATGCTGTGACCAAGCACGTTCCGGGTGGAAGGGGGCTGGACAGAGGCCCCCCTCTCATACCCCTGTTTGCCAATGCCACATCATCACTGTGACATAATAGAAACACACACACACACACATCTCTGTGCTGAGGCTGCATCCAGTGAGCGCAAGCTTTCTCCCAAACAATGAAACATCCAACGTTACTACAGTTCTGAAAGTACAATATCCAAATGTGCCCATCACTTTCCTGGTCAAGTAGTTGCCCCATTAAAGAAGTAGTCTCTCCTCTGTAACTAATAACTTGAATAATTGACAGAATTGAGCTGCTGTTTGGTTATCATTAACAAATGTGTCTATCTATGTTACTGATTGATACTGATTTGTGTTAAACATTAATTGTTCCTATTAGGAAATTTCAACACATTTGATTCAACCTTATTTCTAAGTTTGATTTGTGGGGATAAAAGGAAAGAAAAGCCTTACTGGGACCAGGTCACAGACTCCCTGCCAGATATATAGCACTATGGGCTATCTTTGTTATATTATCTAATTTTAATTACTTATTACAATTTTTACAAACTAATTGTCAGTTTTTGGAGTTATGCTTATTACTTAAAGTGAGTCTAGTGGTTTAACCACTTATAAATATTCATATTTGTGTTTGCATTCATCAAAAATATCTATGATGCATTTTAAATCGGATGTAGGGTGTTATTAAATGTGTAGCTGTAATGAAAGAAAAGTATTTTCTCACATCATTCTTCACAGTGAAAGTCAAACATTCAACTCAAGTAATATTATAAAAACAACTTTTGAGTTGGAGTGGTACAGGTTTTCAAAAAATATCCGTCCAGGACAGTAAATAAAGTATCACCAGATACTATAGTCATAAACTTTCCCATCATCCTTTACCAACATCCCCTCACATGCTCACACACAGCAGCAGCTCTGCTTGAGCACAGACTTGCTCTGTGTTTCTCATTGGAACAAAAAGGAGATAGAGCTACAGATAGACTGAATGGAGGCGGAGGGGGGAGCCATGTTTTTTTTTCTTTCTTCTTTCAAGGGCTTTTCTTCGTGAACTTTCTCGGCAGCTGGTTCATTCCAGTTTGGAGCACTTGTGCGTGAGGGGGCTGTCAGCAGAGGCTGCTGTTTTTTGCCACTGAAAAGCCTGACTGTTTTTCGACCTTGCAGGGAACAAGTTGTTTACTGTCACTGAACACACCGCGTTGGACGGCTTAAAGACAGAATAACTTACCATAACATACAGATAAGGCTCCAACTTACCTATTTTCTGTGGTGTCATATAACCAAAGGCAAAGCATTCAGATGACCCTCCTCTTGACCTTTTGTCCCTGCCTGTCTTTGTCTACACATGTGTGCACACTGCATTTCACTGCATAAACATTTTAAATGAATGATGACAAAGTGCATCCATCGCTTATATATTTCCGGAGGGCTTGACTGAGGCCCCTCTCCAAAAGACATGATGTCAGATTCCTGCTCTGGGTCTGACCTCACCTTGCTGCTGTGAGGCTTACTTTAAAATGTATAAAACTTTGTTTTTTAAAGAACAAAGGAAAGGTCTCTGTGTTTAGCAGTAGCATGAGAACAACAGCCTTTAAAGTCAGACTGCATGTAATTTATGATGATGGTGCTAATTGAAAATCCATTTAAACGCCCTCAGTGGAGCTGTATCTGCTGCTGCAGCGCTCCATGTTTAGTGAGCAAAGGAACCTGATAGCTGGAGTGACACTGTGCTATGTTCCCATGCCAGGACTCCCATCCCTGCCATACCAGAGTCTCAGCATGATCAGCATTCCACCACACACACACACACACACACACACACACACACACACCCTTACGTAGCAGTACAAGTTCAGGACCTTGCTGTTTACAGTTGGGAAAAGTCCTGCGCAGTTGCACCTCTTTGAGCAAAAGATAAAAATAGATGAAGTCCAAGAAAAGGGTCAGGTTCAAGGAAAAAGAGATAATTAAAGGTGTCATTTAAATTGTCCTGAGGAATATACTTTTAAGTACTCAACTGGGACTTCTTAATCTTTTAATGCTTGTGAAACCTAAGTTGAGTTGTGTCGTAAATCCTGCCCTAAAGAGTCTGGAAGTAAGAGAGTATAAGAGACTTTTTTTTCCAGCATTCATTATCTGCAGCTTTATGCATCCATATTGTTTCTTTCATCCCTAAAGTTTCCATATTTGAAGGCAAATCTGCTTTAATGTCTGTTGCAACGCTACATGCGCAAGTCTAACTTATCATCATCCTGTCAGAAGGAAATGATGCATTAGTCAATCTGCACGACACAGGCACAAGGAGAAAAAACAACGTCAGCCTGACACTACCAACACACTCAAGATTTAACCCACAACATAAAGCTGTGGAATAACATGCAACTCAAATGACTGCATTTCCTAACTGTGGTGAGAGTGCAGGGAGCTGCTGCACTATTCTCAGAGCTGGAGGGGAGGAATGCGAGAGATATTCACCAATGACACCCTCTCCTGTTATGTCACACACGGATTTGGCTGCAGAACATAGAGGAGTGGGAGAAAGTCTGTTGTAGCCCTCGAAAAAAGACGCAATAAACAGTTGCAGTTAATGCCTTGTTACATGGTGAATTTATGAATGCTAGCCATTTATTGCTGTGTTTAAATATAATCTGTCTCTTTGAAAGTGAGATAGATCCCTGTTACTTTAAAGTCCCTTTCCTTGTTTGATGTAAGTGTTACATTTTCTATTTGGAGCATATAGAACATGATATCTAAATGGGAGGCTGCATGATTATGCAAGGTCAGACTGAGTGTGTTTTTTATACTCTCTCTCTCCGGTCAGTCACCTTATGTTCGGCTGCAAGGG